TGCGACCCAATGGTTCGACGTAATTTTTATCACCTTTAAAGCATTGTAATAATCATCCACGGTCTGCTTTAAAAGTTCCTTGCCCCATGAACGAGGTGTCCGCTGCTGCGTCGTCGTCGTCATTGTTCAGCAGAGGCTGGACGTTGAAATCGTCCATCTGAATATCGTCCGCCATTTTTTATATTAAACTTATAATATATATATACTCTCCCAAAAAAGAAAATAGCAATTTCATGTAGCAATGAATTGAAACGTAATTCATTTTACAAAAGGTTTTGCTATGTTTATGAGTCCTATGGTGTTCATGTTTTGAAACATCACAACAAAACGCAAATTTTCAATTTTGGTGTGTAGTGTCACAGAATACACAATTCACATGCAATGCACGTGAAAGTTGGGGATCAGATAGTCTCAATGATGGGTATAAAAAGGTTGTTTGCTGTCTGTCGATTATTCAATGTATTTGGAATATTGTTGACGAACGCAAAATGCCACCTCTAAGTGAAGCCAACCGTCATATCGCCATTGGTTTGCTTGAAGCTGGCCAGTCTCAACGTGCAGTTGCCCGACGCATGAATGTTCACCAAAGCACCATTTCACGGCTCTGTGAGAGATATCGCTGGCAGAATGCAGTAGCAGATGCCCCATGTAGCGGGCGACCTCGAGCGACCACTGCGGCGCAGGATCGCTACATCCGGGTACATCACCTGCGTCATTGAACAGCTACGGCAACCAGTACCGCCGACAAATACCCGGATTGAGGAGGCTTTCTGCACAGACCGTCAGGAACAGCTTGAGAGAGGCTGGTTTACATGCCAGAAGACCTTATTTTGTCCCTGTGATTCGACAACAACATCGTTGACATCAAGTTCAATGGTGCATCAACGTTCAGGCCTGGAACCTACCGAATTGGCGTAGAATCTGGTTCAGTGATGAATCACGATTTCTATTGGAATGACTTGATGGAAGAATGCGGGTTTACAGACGTCGACGTGAACATTTCGCCAACGCTTGCGTTCCCAGTTTCCCAAGGTGGACAGAATCTGCCGGGGCAGTGTAATGATGTGTGGAGCGATCACCTGCCGTAGGTGAAGTGATTTGGTGATGGTCTAGGGCAACCTGACAGCTCAACGGTACTGTGACGAAATCCTACGCCCAGTTGAAATTCCTATATGCGTTTCTTTTTTTGGGGAGTGTATATATAAAGATGGGAAGACAGGCACCGTATAACTTCGGCAGGAAATGCATCACCAAATATTGCGCCATACACATAATGTCCATCCGGCGTGGGTGTGAAATGCCATTATTGGCTTGCAAAGCCCACGGAGCGGACGTGGTACGAGGTCATCTCATTTACTTGACGAAAGAGACTATCTCAACGAACGCAACCGACTGCTCAGAATAAAAATCTGACGTAGGAATTGTGAGAAAAAGTACATGCAAAAAATTCGTGAAAATCTGTGTAATATTTTAGGAAATAGTCCAAAAAAAATTAAAAGTCTGGTGAAAGGCTAACTATCCAACGTATTGACAGGGTTGCTAACATTTAATAGCGAGATTTTGCATCTGAATACAGCAAAAATCAAAACCTATTAGAGATTTGACTTCGTATTTGAACATAGTGAAAAAAACTATTAGAGATTTGACTTCGCATCTGAATATAATTATTTTTCATTTAGAAAAAAGTTTTCACACATTGATATAGCAACGATGATTACCGATCGAGAACTGAAAAGGATTCCTAAAGAACGTGGAGCGATCGGTTACTCCCGCTTGAGGAAACCTCAGCTGTTGAGATTACTCGACATGAAACACCATGCCGACGAACAACCTCCCCCTCCCATGGTGAAACAACTCAAACTCCAAGTGAAGGAGCATGGGCTCACAGGTTATTCGCACATGAGGAAAGCCGAGCTCATCGAACTGCTGGAGGAACACAAACCCGTCGAACTACGGTTCACATGGACGAAGTACGCGGTAGGTTCATACGGACGAAGCACGCCGTATGTAAGTATCTTAGAGGATGGAGGATGGACGTTGACAAAAACATGGATGTCAACAACATCAAACCGCTGGTCGTTGACAAAGTCGACGAGGAACTGAACAATCTGGGAAGCCTCAAATGTCAAATCATGGTGAAAATGTCTCTGGAAAAACAGCAGACTGACGGCACTACCGAGCACTTCCAGCCTTACTTCAGAGGCAAGCAAGAAGTCGTAACACAACCCGAATCCATCGATGCGTCCATCGACACCTCGTTGCAAAAAATACGAGAATGCCTGGAACGCTACACGCACATGGGGTTGGGTCGTGGGAAGGACCGACACTGTCTATCTGGACGTAGAGAACTACATGCCGTTCAAAGGCGGATCTTACCAAGACTTGCCACCATACAATGTACAACAAAAAACAAGCCATGGTCAATGTCAAAAACAAAGGCGACGATTGCATGAGGGTTGTGATCAGATCCGCTTTGTTTCCGTTCAACGCACATTCGGACAGACATTTGAACTATCCCGAAGACAACGGGCTCAACTGGGATGGCATAGACGAACCCACTCCCATCTCCCAGATCACCAAAATCGAAAAACAGAATAAACACATAGCCATCAACGTCTTCGGACACGAAGGGAACACAACGATCGTGCACAGGATGAGCCCCCTCCTGAACGGACGCAAGACGATCAATTTATTCATGTTCCAGCGAGGCGACAAGTATCACTACACGTGGATAAAAAGTTTCAGCAGACTGTTGTACGATCAATCGAAATACGATGGGAAAAAACACTTCTGCATTGAAATTCGTCAACCACTTCCTCAAATGCGCATGCCTTACGTCATCTATGCCGACTTCGAAGCCCTCATCAAAACCATCGACACCGTCACTCTGTCCCCAGAAAACAGTTTCACGCACAAAACGCAAGAACATGAAGCCTGTGGGTTCGGGTACGTGGTCGTTCGATGCGAGGGACAAACGAATGCTCCCGTGGTCTACCGAGGTCCTGATGCGGCAGAAAGATTTCTCACGTGTTTGCAAAACGAAGAGAAAATCATCAGGAAAAAATTAAGCCAGCTAACGTCTAAAAACTCGTACCAAACTTGATGAACAAGACAAAATACATCGTTCACTATTGCAACCTGCAGCTTTACTTGTTGCTGGGAATGAAACTCACGAAAATTCACAGGGCGCTCGAGTTCAATCAAGGTCCGTGGAGGGAGCTGTACATAAGAATGAACACGGATTTACGAAAGCTGGCTGCCAGCGATTTCGAGAAAAACTTGTACAAACTCATGAACAATTCCGCGTTTGGCAAAACGACGGATAGTTTGAGAAAATGCGTGAACGTGAAATTAGTCAGATCCAGCAAGGAAAGAAACCTCAGGAAACTGATAGCCAGCCCGGCGTTCAACCGAAGCAAAATATTCAACGTGTTGGCAGCGCTAAAAAGTCACATCAAATTCAACCGGCCCGTGAGGATGAGCATCCTAGACTTATCCAAACACTTGATGTACGACTTTTACTACAACGAGTTGGAAAAGCAGTAAGGCGACAAGTGCGAAATGCTGTTCACGGACACGGATTCCCTGCTGAAGGAAATTTGCACTGAGGACGTGTACGAGGACATGAGGAAAAGCATGCACCTGTACGACACCAGTGATCACCCTAGGCACTACACCACCAACAAAAAGTGCTCGGCAAAATAAAGGACGAATGCACTGGCACGCCGATCGCCGAGTACATCGGCTTGAGACCCAAGATGTATTCAATCAAGAAAGCAGACGACGACGAAATCAGAAAGGCGGGAAAGGCGTGAAAAAACATGTGGTGAAAAAACACATTAAGCACGCCAGATTCAAGGAAGCCCTGTTTAAGAATAAAACGTTCAAACACCAGATGAACATGCTGAGAAGCGACGGACACAGGACACACGATATACAGACTGAGAATCAAGAAGACGTCGTTGTCTCCCATGGACACAAAACGATGGATCGCCATCAACGGAGTCACCACTTACGCATACGGACACATGAACATATTAAATAATTAAAACGCATGCAATACATACATGATGGAGAAAATTTATTACAGTCCACGCCGTTACTGGAAAGGCACGGACGCCATCCCGAAACTAGCCAAAGCCACTTGAGCCACTTGAAGACGTTGCCAAAGCTTGGCTTAAAAAAACAAGCTATCTGGCATGTTTACCTGCCTTAGAACGCATCTACAAACGCAGTCGATTGACCTGGCCTGCCGTATTGCAAATCGATCCAGGACGCGAGTTCATGGGAGCCGTGTCACAGCTGCTGGCCAAGCACAAAGTCCAGTTGAGACGAGATGTGGCAGGAGCTCTCAAGCCATAGTTGAGGGATTCAATTGCTCCTTAGCGGAACGCCTGTTCTCACATCAATACTCGCAGGATTTATTGGATCCCAAAAACAGAAACGCGAGTGGTGGATGCCATCAACAACGAAGTCATCAGGTTCGTGGGAAAGAGACCCGTCGTCAGCGGCACGTCGCGATAAAACAGAGAAAAACATTACCGGACCGGGTCAGCGTTAGGTACTTGTACCAGAAGGGAGACAGCAGAAAACGCGCCACCGATCCGATATGGTCCATGAAAACGTACAACGTAGACCTGGTTGACATAAAAGACAGCGAACCGAACTTGTACTACTTGAAAGACGGACCGCCCAGTGCATTCGTCAGAGAGGAATTGATGATCGTACCTCGCGACACAGTCCCTTACAGATCGCCCACTGTTGAATAATTCTCATGATTTGTCAGTTGTGTGTGTGTGTGTGTGTGTGTGTGTGTGTGTGTGTGAGAGAGTGAGAGAGAGAGAGAGAGTGTGTGTGTTTTTGTGCTTGTGTGTGTGTGTGGTATTTTCTATACACATACGCGACATGTTGCATACACAATAGCAGAACGGGATTAGGGACTTCCCAAGGCCTTAATTTAGAAAATTATACCTGGTTTATATTGTGTTGTGCTCTGTGAGTGAGTTTAGTTTTATGCCGCAATATTCCAGCTATATGACGACGATCTGTAAATAGTCGAGTCTGGACCACACAATCCAGTGATCAACAATATGAGCATCGGTCTACGCAATTGGGAACCGATGACATGTGTCAACCAAGTCAGCCAGCCTAACCACCCGATGCTCTTACGACAAGCATGTGTTACTGAAGATCAATTCTAACCCAGATCTCCATGGGTGTTGTACGCTGTAGTGACAAGGTTTTAGATTTTTAATTACTAGTTTTACATTTATATCTGTGATATTCTAGTTGTTTTTAACGTCCTTTGCCGACAAGATTTCTAATTTACCTTTATACATTATGAAATTATAATTTGTTTTCAGTCACGATATGACTCACTCACTGTTCTGGAATTGCTGACCTTTTTACGGCCTGTTACAAACGCATACCGCTTTGAAAGTCCTGTTGCGATAATCGTATACCTTACTAAGGAACTTGGTGTCAAAAGTATGCGAAAACGTTTCTAATGTACAATTAGACTGATTTTAATGCCAAAACAAAGTAAATTTACAACTTGAAGACAAATCATAATTCAGGATGGATTAAAAATATCATGTTTGCTTGGCTATTTGTCCTTTATGTATGGATTATAAATACACGGTTGGGGACCTGAAGCTATGGTCACCTGATTAGGACATGCCCGAAGCACGCAACTCAGCAATTCTCAGTGACTGTGAAGGGTAATTTAGGTGTCATGGCACAGTGGAGTGGATGTTTCATATAGGTTATTGAGAAGTTATACATACGTTTGAAGCACTGCCATTTCTTCCAACGACTGCAACATATTAAATAAAATTTAGTTTATGAAAGACGAAACGTGAAACAACGAAACAGGAATGTTTTGGAGGAACAGCTTAAAATGAATCTTTAGGAAAGACAGAGTCAGGTTTCAAAGTCTTTTAGTTATAAAATGAAAAAACACAACATACCAAATGATAATTACTGCAATACTATGTGCTGCAACTGCTATGAGTAGTACTCCTACTACTATTCCCAGAGCAACATTGGCTTTAGTCCAGCCTCTCTTCGAATCTAAAATATGCAACATAACTAACTGAATGTTACAATTCTGAATATTTCTGAATAACTGAAATAACATTCTAACATAGTTAGAACGAATCCCTATAACAGCCTTTACGTAAGAATTACGTAAGAAGTCTAAAAAAGACGGTTGGACTTTTTTCCACTTGTTACTAAAGTTTCTTGTTTCAGTTTGAACATCCTTTGACGGATTTAGGAATCGCTGGATATGTGGCAACAATGCTCCCCAACTCTATTATAACCGTATCCAAAATTACAATGGTGTCACTATGTGGCAAAGGTCCCTACACTTCTACAGACAGTGCGGGTCGCTACCGTTTGGAGTGTATTCAATAGAAATTCCCCCATTTGACCCCTAGTTGTAAGTGAATTAATGCAGTGTTTCCGAATTGCCATGCTATCCCAAACAGCATTATTCGTTGTATTAGGCTGCTGACAAATATTGTCTATAATGGCCTCTCTGTACAATAAAGTTTTATCTTTCATAACATCTGAACAACAGCTAACCACAGTTATCAAACATGTAAACGACAATAACCCTTTCAACACCCATAAGAAATTGTACAATACCGATTATATTATGAACGTGTGTTTCGCTTCATGACAACGATCTATAGAAGATCCAGTCTGGACTAGACAATCTAGTGATTCACATCATGAGATACGATAAGAGAGCATGCGTTTATGAAATATAGTGATGCTACTAAAAGACACCCGTAATAAACATGCAAATCGTAAAAAAAATCGAGAAGGTATGGTACAAGTCAAATTAGCAACTTGTCACTGATGCATCAAATGTGGAAATGTCCTTACTGTCTACTCTAAAACCTTTTGAAAGCTTTACTGAGGTCCTGAATGTTGTTACCTTCATCGAACATCTCCTGAGCAAGAGTCGTATGACGCTCTTTGAAATCTTGGTAAAAGAATGTACCTCAAAAGTTGTGAAATGTAAACACCAAAGGCTAGAGCTGTTAGAATATTTCTCGACATGAGGGGATTATTGAAAAGCTGAAATTAACCCTTTTGTCAAACAGCCCCGAGGAGAGTTGAGAAGAAAATAAGGCGAAGGTTGTCAGGGTGTGTAGAGGGGCTGTGGTGTGGTGTAGAGTTTACGTTTCTTGGTAGTGTTTGCTTGTTGGTTTGGGTTGGGCTTATTGTGGTGTAGCGGTTGTGTCCATAACTGGGGGAAATTAGGGTTTCCTGGGTCCAAAAGGATGTGTTGTGCGATTCCATGAGAGTAGGATCCCCCGTCCCGCCATGGTTTGCTGTTTGTGATGTAGTATGATGTGTGGTGCATTGATGTCGGGAAAGCCGGGAAATTGGTGTGACTACAACCAAGTGATAGGAAGTATATAACAAATACCACAGGTGATGAAGCCAATAAACAGGGTAATGAAGCAGACTGTAGTAAAAACAGGAGATGAAATGGAGGGGATAAGTGGACTTTATGAGGAGTTTGAGTGATTAAGTTTATATACTGACAAGCAAAAGAAACGCAATTCAAGAAATCAAAACAATTGTGTTAAAGTATCAAATCCAAACTGCTGAAACAGTATAATAATTTTCATGATTTCTGAGTTGCGTTTTTACTAGCATAGTTTGAGTGATTACAGAATTTGGGTTTGGATCAAGATTGGAATGAATAGTAATGATCGATTCCGCTTTGTGGTTTTCCTGGGCTGGCTGTCGGGCTATGCTGTGTGGGAGACACGGTAAAAAAAAAAAGTACTGTCGGGAATAGAAAAAAAACTGTTTTTAGGCTGTTACTCTGCATCCCTAAAATTTACACAATTGCAAATAGCATATGTCGAAATAACCCACTTCGGCCTAACTGGGCGTTCAGTGGGATGCGTAATACGATATCCAGAAAAGCGTGTTTACTCGTAAAATCGGGCTGCTGAAAACAATAGATCAGACTATAGATGGCAATTAGGTCGCTCAGCCAGGTATGACGACGGACCGTCGACTCACCTTGCATGAAATGCACGTGCTGCCTACAGGCCCAAGGGGTCATCTCAAAGATATTTTGTGCTTTTTAATGTGTGTTGACTATGTCTCATCTATTGATTAACATCTAACGTGTCTTTCTTCATATAGTTTCATATAGTTTGTGTTGAGATATGTAAAAGAGTATGAAACCCGAAAACCATAGAAACGCATCGTAGTATATAGGTGGCATGACCACCCGAAGATCGACAGGACTGGATATTATTTGTAAATTGTTATGACGTGCCGCTTACCCCAGTATAATTGCCCTAAAGGATTATCTTATCTTAGCTGATATCTCTATCCCCAAGCCCGACCCCAAGTTTTGCTTTTGAAACGGCCCCTCCTATCTGTTTCTTTTTTATAGTTACAGTGAGACTGCATGGTAGCTACATCCTTAATAGTTTCGGCATAAAAGTTATTATTTTTTACGTAGACTGTAGTAAAAACAAGATGATGGGGAGATCAAATGGAGGGGATAAGTGGGGTTTATGAATAGTTTAAGTGATTAAGTTTATATACTGACCAGCAAAAGAAACGCAATTCAAGAACAATTGTGTTAAAAATCACATATACTCTAGGGGGGTACAAATACATAAATCACTAATTGGCATCGTTATAATTGAAACCCCGTCATTAAAACTACTCATTTCGATCTTTAATTAACTTAAATCGACCTTTTTGACAACAGTGCACAATTATCACCCTCGAACGAAATTTCAACCAATCAGAGCGGCGCGTCTCTGTGACGTCATATGAGGAATAGATATGAGGCCGATGCAGAATCCATGTACATTTCAGGGGGGTAAATTATCTTGTTTACAGGTTTGTATAAACCTGAAATCGTGACAACTGTTGTGAAAAATGAAAGCTATATGTTCTCACAATCTACTGTCATTTAATTTTGTCCTTTGCTTTGCCTAGTTTCCGAGTTACAACTTGTTTTCATAGACGATTCTGTCAAAATCGTTTGGTGTCGCTAGGCCTTATTTGTTCGAACCAGACGATGATCAGCCTCGCTCATCATGGTTACGGTTAATTTCTTCAACCTAAACAGTCCGACATTAAGAAAGTTGGATGCCCATCAGATGCAGTTATTTGAAAGTATCCCCGGTAGTTCTTGTCTGGTTGTAATAAAGTATCAAAGCTTTGTGGGCTTTTTCAGGTTTTCTAAGGCCTGGATGGTGTATAATGACTGATCCAAATTGATCCCATTTTCTGCGTTTTTTACCTCGATATTTAATCATGTCATGTAAAAATATGACGTCTATTACGTATTATATTAAAAATTGACATTTGATTTATTTGAATCCGTAAACTAAACAACCCTACTTTGCCATTGCTAGAAGAATCTGAAAATTTACTTAGGTAAATATATAGGTACATACAGTTTTAGCACACAGCAAATGCTTATATGTATTTCTTATGCAACAATGAAGTTCTGTTCGTATTCTCAAAACAGTGTCGGCCCAATTCAAATTGCATGCAATACAGCAATTAATACTCCCTTGTTGTAACCCATGTTAGGTGGTATAAACCTACACATGTTATTTGTCATCATTCACTTGATGGTCAGTTAATGAATTTATAACAGGTAAAATTAGTGGTAACACGACTTAGATTACCGGACAAAGGTTCCCATTTGGCATTTCTTGTGTCTGGAGTAAATGCTCAACATTATAAACATCGATCAAAGGATTAACTGATAACACGTTGATTGATTAATTACTTTTATCTTACACAGCGGATTTGTCAAAAGGTAGTGTTTATGTATGTCGATTTCCTAATCTATACTGAATACACTCAGTCGTGTCTTTGTCTGCGTAAAAAACAACCTCCTTCTTTTAAAGGATTAACCGCCAATACATTGATTGATTGCTCATTATTGGCTAACTAAATTACTTTTTTTTAAAGAATGGCGGACATTATGCAATTAGCTGCCAGGTGTGCTATCTTGGGTGACCAATGAGACTATACACCAATGTGAAATACTTGAAACGATATATCACTTTTTCGTATATTAGACTGTTAAAAGACACATCACTTGGAACAGCTGCAGATGAATGGCATATCACTCGTTTTTTTATGGATACATTCCCCACCGTTTCTGGCCCCTGATATAGGGCTCGAACAAGATAATAGCCCGACATTGTTCCTATAACTTTAATCTGTTTTAATTTTAATATTTGCATTTTGTTTTTATTCATTTGTCGTAGCATTCAACAGAATCATTGTTTTCGCCGTGAAGTGTAATGAGACAGACAACATACACTTGGGCGTCTGTGCGAATTATGATTCACATTGGCAAACTATAAAATGTCTAGATATTAGTCCTGTTATAAATTCACTATACGTATCAGCAGATCGTCTGCTTTTTATTTAGTTTCAAAATGCATACACGTATGATAATAAACTAATTAGGATTATAAGACCAAATATAAAGACGTACATTGACTAGTATCTACATACTGGTGAGTGGTCGTTAACCACGTGAATGTAGCAAGAAATTTATCGCGCAGTATTGTCACTTCGACCCCCACCTCGCTTCCGTGGAAGAAATCGTTATGTTATAAGTTGTGTCATGCAACATCCTTTTGGTTATGATTCCAATACATATTTAACTACCAGTAGATAGTAGTTTTGATTTTCTAACTTGATGAAAACAAACCATAATCTCATTAATTCTAACAGACTTTAGCCCGTGACTTTACGATTTTAAAACATGGCGGCGCCCTGTCGCGAACATCCCCGAGTCTGAGGATAAATACTATTTAGGTTTGTTTTCACCGAGTTACAAAATCAAAAGTACTTTCTACTGGTAATAATAAAATATGTATTTGATTGATGGCCAATAGGATTTTCCATGACATAGCTCATAACATAACAATTTCTCTCGTGGAAGCGAGGTGGGTGTCAATATAATACTACTTACAGTATTATTGTTACTTCGACCACAACCTCGCTTCCGAGGAAGAAATCGTTATGTTACAAGTTGTGTCATGGAAAATCTTTATGTCATCAATCATATGCATATTTTACTACAACTAGTAAGTAGTTTTGATTCTTTAACTTCCGTGAAGCGATCTGTAAACAAGTAAGATATCGTTTCAGGCTTCCACAACGCTCGCTTCGCACTCACAAACATAACCACAAATCTTTCATATGTAATAATAGAGTACAAAAAAACAAAGTTTATTTGTTCTTTAAAGTATCAAATCCAAACTGCTGAAAAAGTAAAATTTTCATGATTTCTGAGTTGCGTTTTTATTGCTGGTCAGCATAGTTTGAATGATTACAGAATTTTGGTTTGGATCAAGATTGGAATCATTATGAATATTAGTAAATGATCGATACCGCTTTGTGGTTTTCCTGGGCTGGCTGTCGGGCTATGCTCTGTGGGAGACACTAACACCACACACAAAAGGGAACTACCGAGAGGGCGAAACGGAGTTATCTCCCTTGCGAGAGACCGGGGTCTGGCATTCACAAGCAGATTTCACCCCTCCTTCCCGTAAATATACTGGGCAAAAATAGTTAGGGCTATATGTGAATTTTGAAATTACGAATAATGATCTATATATTCAGTGACACACTGATAAAATATCAGTCATAAAAATACCAATTTCCCTAACGTATTTTGTCCACTGTATGTTTAAGGTTGATATATGAAAATGTATATCACTACCCAAGGACCAATACATGACAATCGTATATGGCTATCAATATGTGTTTCTTCGGTGATATTCGTCTTTTCGTCTAGGGATTATATTAACACACAGTTGGAAATAGCCTCTTCCTGAATGCACACGAACGAATGAATATGATTCAAACATGTAAAAAAAATCTTACAGTGACCAGGAAGCTATCCTACGTGTTTAACTTAACTTTAAGCAACTTAGATGCATGAATAAAAGAGTTAAATTCACACATGTTAAAAGAAAACGGGTACTAAATATATATATATATAAATGTATTATGAATTATACGTACCTCCATCCCGGCATTTTGCGTCTAACTGACGACACACCGTGCAATTTACAGGACATCTTTCTTCACAACTGAATCCTGTAAATCCATTCTTACATTCGGTACAGCTGACGCTACCGTAGATGGATAGTGAACAGTTTGATTTGTAACAGTTTTTTGGACATTCATCGGAACACATATACCCATACCTTCCCTTAGCACATCCTGTCTTGCAGGTACCGTTCCACCGGTGACAATACTTATCAAGACAGTATTGGCTGCATTCTTGACAGTGGTTACCGTAGGTAACGTTACTGCAATACAAACAGTATGCGCTGTGAATGGCGCAGGTTTTGTTCAGGCAATAAGGACTACATTCGAACTTACACTGATTACCACGATATCCATTTTCACAACTGTGGCAACTTCCGTCCAAAGGATTACAGGATCTTGTGTTATTTGCGTCAAGTGCACAATGCTCTCCACATGGACTATCACATTTTCCGTTAGTACCATTATAGTAGCCCGTCTCACAAAAACGATCGCATTTTGAGTTTTGATATCTGGTTCTACACTTTGGACAGTCTATTTGACACATGTCTCCTGTATTCCGTTTGCAGCAAGAACAAGCGCCATCCACCACCTTGACATAGCAGTCTGAATCATCTGCAAAAGAATGACGACATGATAATTTCACGTTTTCTCCCTCATGAAGCTTCTAGCAACAGGGGGCGGTGGGGTAGCCTAGTGGTTAAAGCGTTCGCTCCTCACGCCGATTCCCCACATGGGCACAATGTGTGAAGCCCATTTGTGGTGTCCCCCGCCGTGATATTGCTGGAATATTTCTTAAAACGACGTAAAACCATACTCACTCACTCACTCACTCTAGCTACAGCTCGTAATGCAGTGTGGAATTAAGAAATGAAATGGGGATGTATAAAGTGTTATATTATAATCATGATATGTCAGAATTTTACAATTCTCTATTGTACTTCTAGCAGAGATTACGTACGGGTGTGGAAAGGATTTTGTCGTTTCTATTTAATTTAGTATTTGTCATGATAGTTATGACATGCATTTTTAGTTTCACTGCGCTGGAGTTGAGCCAGATGAGTGATCATTTCATATAAAGACATTATTAGACTATTATTGTTTTTTCGTTTACTTTGGTTTCATATTCAAAATACAATTCAGTCAAATATATATGCGTCCCAAAGGCAGTGTATACGTTCGTGTGTTCAAAGATTCCAATTTAACCTCCTTTTTCTCTTTTTTATGAAAAAATCTTCATCTTCATCCATGAATAACTGTTGCCATGGTTAGGGCCTTTGTAGATATTTTGATAATGTGGATGTTTTGTCTAAGTGATGAGTACGGTATTCCCATAGAAGTAGTTGTTACAACATTTGGTTCATTCATAATATTTGTCATTCCGGGTTGCATTCCGTGTTATGAGTACGGTATCCCAATTAGTTGTTAAAATATTTGGTTCCTTTTAAAAACTTCGTCTTTCCGGTTTGGACATGTAACAACAGTATCTGTCCAGAGCACAGTCCACCAACTTCCTGTTGACTAGATTCTTTACCTGTTGACTATATACTGTCTGTGAGCAGTCTACACAGTCCATTCATTTCCTATTGACTGGATTCTGTCCAGAACACAGTCTATTTACTTCCTGTTGACTACATATTGTCTAGAACACATTTCATTTCATATTGACTACACTAGATTCTGTCCTGTTGAACACAGTCTAGAGCATCTATTCACTTCCTGTTGACTACATATTGTCTATAGCACAGTCCATTCATTTCATATTGACTAGATTCTGTCCAGAACAAGTCTATCTACTTCCTGTTGACTCCATTCATTTCATATTGTCTAGATTCTGTCCACACACTCCATTCATACTGACTAGATTCTGTCATTTCATATTGACTAGATTCTGTCCAAACATGCAGTCTATTCACTTCCTGTTGACTACATATTGTCTAGAGCACAGTCCATTCATTTCATTTTGACTGGATTCTGACTAGAGCACATAATTTAATTCAAGTTCTTAATATATGACTTTCTGGACTCAGAAAAAATCCTTGTGTCTTAATTAAACTAATGAAAACAACTTGAAGTTAATATTTTTGTCTGATTGCGTTGTCTGTAATACAGATGAACAGTGTTAGATATACGTTGTTTCTCAAATAGGAGACTCTGTCCTTGGGAATTCAAAGTTACACAAATGTTATTTGTTAATTACATATGATAACTTTCAATTTGAGAATGGAGCCGCACATTTTCATAAACTCCGGACTTGTTGTTTGATCGATACGTATTAATCAGGGATATTTTAGTCTTGTTATAATCATACATCAACTTAAGTATGATTTATGGGAATTTGATATTTACTGTTGGACTTTCGCTTCTAGGAAAAATTGGCATGAATGATTATTGGCATGTAGAAGCCTGTCAAGTGTCGGGTTCAGTAATTGCCTTGTAGGTGTCTGAGGCAAAGATGGTTACAAGGACACCTATAAGACGCATTACTGACCAGTAGGTCATGACATGAACCCTAATGAAATTATGTGAATTCTTATACCATGGAAGATCCTCAGGTCATTTGCGAAGAAACAGTTTTATATTTTCTAAGAAACATGTTTAATGATTTTCAGCATATACCAATAAAGAAACGTTAAGGGTGTTACCTCTTCTAGTTCTTGTGTGCTGTAAACTTGGTTCCTGACAGCGAGCACCCTTCCATCCTTTCTGACAGCCATGTGAGCACACGAAACTGCCATCTGTTGACACTTCACAAGTGTTGTTAAGACAATGTTGACTGCAAGTGTTCTCACAGAAAAATCCCCAGAAACCTGTTTTACATGAGTCACACAGTCCACTGCGATCACATGTAGAGTTATAACATGTGGTGTTACACTGTTTGGTACAGTTGACGCCATGCCAATGCGCCTCGCAACCACCTATACAATTACCATCCATCTGAACGCAGGTCTTGTCCACACATTTTGAAGGGCAATGCTGATCACATCGGTTACCGAAGAAACCTTGTCGGCAACCACTGAGACAAAGGGCAGTATCTCGGTCACAAACTGGCTTCTTAAGGACTCCATCGCGGCAGTTGGGCGGACACAGGAGTGAGCAGTTCTTGCCATAATATCCTGCTAGGCAGCCATATTCATCGCACTGTCCATTCTCATCGCACCCCTTGAAACAGTTTGGGCAACCTCCAGCCATATCTGCCGATACAATATTAAATTGGTGATGTGACGTTTGAAATGTACAAACATGAAAATAGGTATCAAAACACGTGTTGTTACTGAAACACAATACAATAACTAGGGAATACTCGATTCACACGAATAAATCATCGATATTTTAATTACTCTTTTGTAATTGTTGATTGGGGAACATCTTTATCCAGAAATGTATATTTTTTAAATCGGACATATTGTGACTTTTTGGGACGTAAATATATGTAACAAATAATCGTATTGTCAACGTGGTCCGTTGTATCACATGTATGGTCAATGACAGCCACCTAGTTCATGAACAGTAAATAGAGATTCTCCTGCATTAGTAAGTGGTGTCTGTGTAGAGTATGTCAGGTGCGACATGTTTAGTAAACTGCAGAGTTGTTTTCCCCATATTGGTTAACGATTTGCAATTTATCTATCCTCATTATATAGAAAATAAAATAAAATATATAGTGAATTAAATCGATTTATGAAAAAGGCTTTTCAAATGGCTTCCCACGTTGTTCTGTAACAGGAGATAAATCATGAATATCACATTGTTTTCATGAATATCCAAGTTTCAGGGATATTAAAACATGTATATGACATCGAAACATATATTGCAAAGAAAAAATTCAATATGAATGTATTTGAGAGAAAATGGATAATTCTCCAGATGTTCTGTGATTGTGACAATGAATTAGATCTACTCGAGTGTATCTGCGCTTGTACTAGTGTCACATACCCTTTTTCCCACTGAAATTGTAACAAACTTGACATACCATTTCTTATATTATATCATTACAAAACCATGCCTATGGATTGTTTCAAACAAAGTGTATCCAAGTGAAGTAAATATTTTTTTTGAAAACTGCAACTATAAAACAGTCGGTATAGCCACAAGTTAGAACATGGATGCATGTGATCTATTATCTTTATGAACATGTGTCAACTACATGTGTGTCTGTGTGTCTATTGTTAGGACACGTGTCACTTTCGCAAAATGTAACTAACTATCATCGGTGACTAATGGTATCGGATGTTCAGGTCCGTTGACTTGGTTGACACATGTCATCGAATCCGAAATAGATGGATGTTCTCGATATTAATCACTGGATTGTACGGTCCAGACCGCTATCATATACCTGGAATATTGCTGAGTGCAGTGTTTGATTACAAACAAACGAAGGTACTCACAGGAAACAGAGCTCAGTCCGACAAGAACAAGAAGGAGCATATGACAAGCCATTGCGTCTCGATTCTGAAACATTGTAAACATCTGAAAACTGAGGCATTGAATGTTGTGACCTGATCAAATAACGTCTGGACAAGAGTCGTATGACGCTTTATGAAGTGCTTGCTCGATTGTAAATCAAAAGTTATGGAATGTAAACACCCAAGGGTTGAATTGTTGGAACATGAAGGTAAAGTTTAAATCATAATGGGAAATTAAAATAATCAACTTTGTGTCACCTGCACCATGCACTGGGATGTTAAATGAACGAAGCGTGGGTAAAATCAACCCAGCGAGCAGTAAACAGGATCTACAGTCCGTTTGATTTCATTTGAGAACGATGAATTGCTCACAAACACAAAATATAATAATTGCAACAAAAATAATTTGCACAATCTCATGAAATCGACAGACCAACTCTAATGAATTGCCTCATAAGTTTTGGACACCCGAATAAAAAAGTTGTTTAATAAACGAACATTATTTTGCTGTCACCTTTCGCTATTTTTAACGAGGGGGACCACTTGATAGGGGAATATGTAAGAGGTGCACGTGTGAAATTGAAATTTCACTACACACGTTCGTTGAAAATTTGGTTTTGTTACACTTATTAGATCTTGTGTTAGTGAGCAATTCAGTTGCTCAGCAGTGTTAGTGAGCAATTCATCGGTTTCAAATGAAATCAAACGGACTGTACAGACACTACAACCTCACACCAGATACCGTACGTGCGACCTGAAATAGTCATTTTGAAGCGTTGGAAAGCAATGCATTTATCATTTACCTTAGAGGAAGCTATCTTATTCTCGTTTATCTTCCCTACAGTGTCATGTAACTCTCGGGAATCCGGCCATGCAGTAATATAGTAACCTAATCCACTTTAAAATGTAACACTAGTCATACACATTTGTAAACAGAAGTTTATCAAAAGAAATATTTCCTTGTTGAGGAATATCCCTTGCACGTCATCCAAAGTTACACACACAATGTAATATTGCTGTCAATGTCGAGTAGATTCTAGCCTGTGTTGGCTGATCAGTATATTCTTACCGTGTCTGAAGCAGTTTAATATTGAAAAAATCATCGTGGTCTTGTTTTACAATACATTTCTCCAAATTATTTTAACATTTAAAGATAATATGGTACCCCATAAAAAGCACGTTAAATAATAAGGGACAGCTCTTGTGCCATTTTTAACATAAGATTTCACCTCATGGCCAATATGTAAACGCAATCAACCTCTCCTCCATCAGTCTTACTGCAGTAATTCAACACCTTCACCAAGCTCAACCACAAAGCTATTGACAAAATTATCAGCATCAACAACAACAACAACAACCAAAACCGGGCACCAACTGACCTGAACCAGCACTCATTCGTATTTTTCTCCCCTTCACGTAAGTCCCAAAACTTTGAAAATTAAATTTAAACTTACCAGATTTTTAAACGTAGTATTTTTATGTTACTTTTTTCCAACACTTGTCGGCGGCTGAAGGGATGGTGAAAATCCAACTAGGGTCCATGCAGGTAGCAAAGGTACTGTAAGTCCCCATGGTTCCTAGGATTGTGATATACCTTTAGTTGTTGACGATCTATAGCTTGTTTTCACATTGTCTTGTCATGTATAGATTAAATGTTTGAAATTGAGTTACGAGTTTAAAATTTTATATCTATGATAAACTAGTTGTTTTACTGTCCTTCGTTTACAGGGTTATTATTATAATTTACCTATAACTGTTATTGATATATAACTTGACATAGTCGGGATGTGGCTGAAATACTGCCGATGTTACTTAAAATTTTAACTCACTCATTCACTCTCTCCCCTTCATGGGGCAGACCTCCCAGTACATCTGCCGTCTCCTGAAGCGACAAGCAGGCATCGAAAGTTACTTTACCAACTCCACACCACTGAAAACCCAACTGAATTCAAAATGACATCGACCCAAAGGTGATGTCTACCAAATCAACTGTGACTTTTGCGAAGCTTATGTGGGTGAAACCTCCCGCCCAATAAATATCATATTTTAAAAACACACATCTATCACAAAATCAGATCGAAAATCAGCAATGTCAGACCACATCATCAACTGTCCCAATCACAACATACTTTTGGACAATGTAGATATATTATAGGAAACCTCCAGGACTTCACCAAAAGAAAACTGACAGAAGCAGTTCAAATCCGCAGACACAAGCCCTCAATCAACAGAAATCAAGGGCACCTCATCCCATCTGCATGCAATGAACTGATAAAAAACAGAGCAGTGCACACCAGCCACCATTGTTCATAATCTTCTCAGCCATGTATATTTTGTTCTGCCACAATTGGCTTCCTCCTGAGCAACAGGGATAATTCTATGGGTGTACAAATATTAATATTAGCGACGTTTCGGTGTAACCCCCAACACCGTTATCGAGCAAGTAACACTCCTCGTTGTTCATCACACAAACCTCTAAATGTCACACAAAAAGGTTGGCTACCTCCTATTGTCACTGCATTATTAGCACTATCTATTGTTGTTGTTAATCCCCCAATAAAGAAAACGAAGTTGTATATCCATAGAATTATCACCATTCTTCACCCCTCATCTTCTTAAATGCCCACCAAAGAAATCAAGCGTAACGTCTGCCTACAAATGAATTACTCATACCCAAACTTTATAAAGTACGTTCTTGTTTGCAATTATTAATACAATATAGAACAAATTTTATGGATAACAACTTCTTTATTTGCCAGACAATATGAAATCCTTCCAGAGGGGCACGAGTCGCTATTCGGCTTGTCCCGGAATAACACGAGTTGGTCACGAATGTAGCGGCTCGTGCCCCTCTGGAAGGATTTCATATTGGCGTAGGAACATCAGAACTACTTCAAACAGGAATGATAACTCTATTCCAGTTGGATTCCAATGGTACTTAATATCACCGAAGTACTCATACATTGTATTGCTGGGGTTTTTTTTGCTATTTATTCTAAAGAATTAAACCTCCTTGGTATAACTAAAAGAAAGAAAAAAAACATATTTGTTAAAGACATATTCTGACGTAATTATTACCAGATATTCACCTTATATTTCCAATTATATTTCTGAAAAGGGTTTAATAAGCAGAAATGGGATTTGTTTTATTGAATATGCAAATACAATTTGTAAAAAAACGCCGCTACATTAAATCCCAAAGCAGAAACTCAAGAAATGACTTTTATAATATTTCTCAAACTGAACATACGTGTAACCTTGCTGTCATACCACAAGTGGACTTTTAACTGAATTCGCTGAAAAATATATGAATGACCACAAGAAGGTCAGACTAAAATATTCCCAGAGAATTGAAATATATGCCCAATGTTAACGATTAAAGTTGATTAGTTACATACAGATATAATATTATTGTTTTAAAGCTCGTAGCGATTTATAATTACATTTCCTAAAATTGATGGAAGCGCACGTACAATCTCCATAGCAAGCCCGCAAATCGTCAGAAACACCCTCAGTTGGACCCATGAGAGCCGTTATGTCAACAAACGCACGGATGTGTATTTGAATCTCTCGCCGTCAATCGCATGATTCTTATCAAAAACACCATAATAGGCAGCAAAATCCTGTTAGCTTAGTTCTTTGTACTTTCAATATGACGATATACATTTTTCATGATTTTTTAAACAATGCCATAATGCCATAAACGATTTAAGTACTCGGGATTATTTTTACCAAAGCACCGCAGTCATTTACGCGCGTTCTGATTGGTTTGTCGTATTTTCGAACATAACAAGCATCGAGAGGGGGGCGAGTCTTCTTGCCGGTTACAAATATGGGCGAGTGGTGACGAATGTGATGTTATGCTAAGTCATCGCAGCGCCGGAGTGGGAAATATAGCAGCACCACACGCGTAAGGATATGCGGCTTCTCTACATCGCGGGTTTCCTTACAGAGAAACTGCTGTTTTCATTTTAGCGTATTTTAGATAGAAAACTGATACAGGTGATAAAACAATAACCAATGACAAGGTTCGGGAATTACGTAATTAATATAACTCGGGAAAGAGTACTATCATTCCCCGTCAGTCGTTAGTTATTGTCTATACTGCAAATGTAAGTGTGTACCTGTTATAAGGTAAAAATGCATCCCCAAAACCATGAGAGAATTACATCAGATTCGTATTTAGATTTGCAGTTTTGCTCAGGAGTCATAACGGTTAGGCACGGAATGGAGACGGAAAGTTTCCATAGAATGGCGTTTAGCCGTAGGCTATGGAAAGAGAGACAGAACACATTTGTGGTGAAAGACATAACAGATTAATCTTATATTGAAACAAACAACAAAGGGGAGAGTGACCGAACGATTCTTACCGGTACTTTTCCAATCGTAATATTCATGAGTGCAAGGTCGGATACAGTCTAAACGAATCAAACCGATTAGTTGAAACAGGTGATCTAGATCAGGCCAGGCTCGAACCATATAAAAACACAGGTTGGGCACTGAGCGAGTGGTGCGCGCTTTTTAGTGACGGGAGCCAGTCCACGCCACTCAGTTGCCCCGTGTGGTACGAACCTACCCTGTCTGATGTTGAAGTTGTAGTTAGAGAGATGGACTGAGACAGAGTAAAACTATGTGAGTATAAACTTGGGGTTGGGTTTATCTTTGAATGTATGTGTGCCAGAACATGAATGTTATGTGGTTAATTAGGAGTCACGGTCGTCCGAACCCTCACTCCTTGACTTAGCATCCTGCAACGGACCAAGCGAGTGGAGCGCCAGAGCTACCATCTCCCCGAACTATATGGAACTACCATAATAAATAGGTAATTGTGGTAGGGTTTACTAACACCCAAACGCCAGTTACGATACCTCCTAAAACATCTTCCCTTTCATTATCAGTTGTGTAGATATTTGTACATTGTCCAATTCTCTGAAACTATGTTCAACAAACAAGTATTGTTTAGTAACCCAACAGAGATCAGGTAGCATGTTACTTACATCTGATGAAATCCAGAAGCAGTGCTCACTCACAGACGGTCCGTGTCGCTCTGCTACACCGGGGTTGGCTTGACAACGCTTCCTTAGCATGCGCCTGAGTGGTGCTTGAGTGCACGTGATTTCCAAGGCTAGGTCGTGGTGTCCTCAAACTCACCGTCGAAGTAGTTTGGTGGCTAGACCACCTAACCGGACATATTTTAAGGTCGGTAATTCAATCCTCTCGAGCTTCTCGCAACTGACTGCAGTTGTAACATTGCCTATCGCTAGGCACAGTTAGTACAGAAATAGGACTGTTCAACTCGGAGTCAGAAAGCTCTGCCTCCTTTGGATAGCACTGTGCACCCTGTATCACCACGGAATAGACCGATCCAGTGCCATTTGTGACGAAAAGCAGAATAATATTTCCCCTCTCTGCTCGTTTGTCCCCCTTTTGTCTGTTTACACTTATGTAATCAGATCAATAATAACAAAGGCTATCTGATCTAATTTGGCATCTGAAAATGGGAACCCTGCTCAGCGACAAATCTGCTGCATTTCTCTCTCTCTTTCTCTCTCTCTCTCTCTCTCTCTCTCTCTCTCTCCCTCTCTCTCTCTCTCACACACACACATTCAAAAGTTTAAACATTTGTATACTGTTATAAGGTGAAAATGAATCCCTAAAGCATTAAGAGAATTACAGCAGATTCCGTATTTCGAATACCAATATGACTCAGAACTGATAACCTTTGGCTCATGACAAAGAACGGTTAAACACATAGTGGAGGCAGAAGGTGGGGAATAAGAGAAAGATAAACATGGAGATATGAACTTGGCTAAAACTTTTCGTGAGGCGAAAACACGACAAGGTCGTAAGAGGAAGGTTACGAAATACATGAGTTTAAGGGTGGATACGGAAGTAGCAAATCACTGAAAAGGGGAGTCACTGAATGGTGCTGTCCGAGACCCTCTAGTTATAATACACATGAGTGAAAGGACAGACACAGTTAATAACGAATCAAAACAATATGTTGAAATATGTGATCAGGATCAGGTCAGGCTCGTCTCATTTAAAAAGACATGTTTGGGCGCTAAGAGCTCAAAGTGTGCGGAAAGTACTAGCTCAACATTTCGGAAGCCAATCCACTTTACTAAGTTCCCCGTAGGATACGAGCCTGCTCTGTCTTTTGTTGGAGTTGTACTTAGAGATATGGACTGAGAGACAATAAACCTATGTGAGTATATATAGAACTTGGCGTTGCGTTTATCCTTGGATGTATGTAGACCAGTACATGAATGTGATGTAGTTAGTTAGGAGTCACGGTCGCCCGACCCCTCACTCCTTGACTGAGCATTCCCCATGGACCAAGCGAGTGCAGAGCTGGAGCTTACATCTCCCCTGACAATGTGGAACGACCATAATCAATAGGTAACTGCGGTAGGGTTTACTAACACCCAAACGCCAGTTACGACAATACAATCCTAAATAACAATGAATATAAGGAAAACCCATTTTACATCAAATCATTCTGTTCCAATTTTTTTTCGCCATGGGTTCTTTATTTGGAATCTTAATGTAGATTCAGATCTATGGTCCCGCTTCCAGAATATTGGACAGTTAACTAGCATTCAAATAGAATGCCACACCAAATGAAATTATTTAAAATATTAGCCGTCTTCTATTCTCCCTGCTCGAAGGCACATCACTTCGGAGGAATCGTTTGACTCAACCTGGTTTCCCGGGGTCTGCTGCGCTAACGTTTCGACATGGTCATGTTTATACAGTATATATGCAACAATGACATAACTCATACTCCATAACTCAACATAACTCCTTTCCCCCTCATGTCCTTCGTAGGGGCAGTGGGGTAGCCTAGTGGTTACAGCGTTGGCTCGTCACACCAAAGGCCCGGGTTCGATTCCCCACATGCGTACAATGTGTGAAGCCCATTTCTGGTTTTCCCCGCTGTGATATTGCTAGAATATTGCTAAACGGGGTTAAACCATACTCACTCACTCACTCACGTCCTTCGTGGACAGATGTTTAGAACAGAACTGTATTTATCATGAATTCATAACTTGTTTTAGTCAAGATTCAATAAAACACGCTGTACTAATTTGTTTAACTCACTCACCGTTTCCCCTCATATCACCCTCACTGAAACGGCTACCCAGTAAACATTGCCGCTCGTATTAAACATGAGCTCATATCTAATCATATACCACAGTGCACGGTGCAGTCACATGACAACAGAAGACGCTCTGTATAGCGCTGACAGCTATTTTTAAATTCTTACTGATATACACCATATGTAAATTTAAATCTTTTGGAATGATATCAGCAGTGATCGTGTGTTTACAAATAGAACGCGTTGACCCAACTCCGGAGAGTCTCCCTTAACAGATCAAGATTTTTCGATCGTATATGTAGCTGTGTGGAACCTAATCTCCCATGTATAGCATGGTCACAGCCATCCTACTTCTCTTACCATTACTTTCAGGTAGGTCATTCGTTCATTAGTAGGTATCCAACTAACCTACATTTGTAAACCTGTAATCATTTCCGATATGGCCCTGGTGTAGATAATGAAATGGTATTTATTACTTTTCCACGAGATGACGAAAAGGCATACTTCCATTGTGTATGTTATTTCTCGAATACAAGTGAGTGAGTGAGTGGGGGGTCAGGCAGATCAGGATTTCGATGTTTTCTATTTGACGTCTTTGGTTACGTGTAAGATACATTTCCCTCTGGGTTATACCAGCACGTTTATCCAACATATTGCCTATGCCATGTTAAACCCAACATATGACACACAAACAATCACACTTTATCCACCATATCATACTAAAAGACACACACTTTATTTACCATATCATCAGACACTAGTCTTATCCACCATACCATCAGACACTAGTCTTATCCACAATATCATCAGACACTAGTCTTATCCACCATATCATCAGACACTAGTCTTATCCACCATACCATCAGACACTAGTCTTATCCACAATATCACACACAAACTATCACATTTTATCCACTATATAACACTCAAACATTCACACTTTATCCACCACACCAAACTGAAAGACACACACTTTATCCACCACACCACACATAAAACACACACACTTTATTCACCATGTGATCCACCACTCCCGCTCGCGTTTCATCCTTCATAACCTAAGACAGTGGTATTCACCATATCAATCTCAAACATATTTTATCCCTCATCTGAATGTTAGCTTTTATCCGCCATAATTTTGTAACTCTATTTTGGGGTGCCAATGAACCATATTGAAGTTAAATAGACGCATCGCTGTTCCGTGATGTCATGGTAAGTTGACGACATTATTCTGCAACTCGCCAGAGTTTTGTGGATGTAACAGTATCCCCTTTGTCAACATATCAATCTCAGACAGGGTATAAACAACATATCATCCTCAGACAGAGTATAAACAACATATCATCCTCAGACAGAGTATAAACAACATATCATCCTCAGACAGAGTATAACATATCATCCTCAGACAGAGTATAAACAACATATCATCCTCAGACAGAGTATAAACAACATATCATCCTCAGACAGAGTATAAACAACATATCATCCTCAGACAGAGTATAAACAACATATCATCTTCAGACAGAGTATAAACAACATATCAACCTCAGACAGAGTATAACAACATATCATCCTCAGACAGAGTATAAACAACATATCATCCTTAGACAGAGTATAAACAACATATCATCCCTATAAACAACATATCATCCTCAGACAGAGTATAAACAACATATCATCCTCAGACAGAGTATAAACAACATATCATCCTCAGACAGAGTATAACAACATATCATCCTCAGACAGAGTATAAACAACATATCATCCTTAGACAGAGTATAAACAACATATCATCCTCAGACAGAGTATAAACAACATATCATCCTCAGACAGAGTATAAACAACATATCATCCTCAGACAGAGTATAAACAACATATCATCCTCAGACAGAGTATAACAACATATCATCCTCAGACAGAGTATAAACAACATATCATCCTTAGACAGAGTATAAACAACATATCATCCTCAGACAGAGTATAAACAACATATCATCCTCAGACAGAGTATAAACAACATATCATCCTCAGACAGAGTATAAACAACATATCATCCTCAGACAGAGTATAAACAACATATCATCCTCAGACAGAGTATAAACAACATATCATCCTCAGACAGAGTATAAACAACATATCATCCTCAGACAGAGTATAAACAACATATCATCCTCAGACAGAGTATAAACAACATAACAACCTCAGACAGGGTATAAACAACATATCATCCTCAGACAGAGTATAAACAAGATATCATCCTCAGACAGAGCATAAACAACATATCATCCTCAGACAGAGTATAAACAACATATCAACCTCAGACAGGGTATAAACAACATATCATCCTCAGACAGAGTATAAACAACATATCATCCTCAGACAGAGTATAAACAACATATCATCCTCAGACAGAGTATAAACAACATATCCTCAGACAGAGTATAAACAACATATCATCCTCAGACAGAGTATAAACAACATATCAACCTCAGACAGAGTATAAACAACATATCATCCTCAGAGAGAGTATAAACAACATATCATCCTCAGAGAGAGTATAAACAACATATCATCCTCAGGCGGATTCTATCCAGTATATCAAACCTCAGGCAGACTGTATCCCTCATTTCAAACTGAGACAGGTTGTTCTATAAAAGATATCAACTTCTGACAGAGTCTATACAACATATCAATCTCAGACAGGGTATGAACAGCATATCAACCTCTGAGAGTGTCTATACAACATATCCACATCTGACAGTGTCTATACAACATATCAACCTCTGACAGAGTATAAACAACATATCAACCTCGGCCAGGTTGTCTATACAGCATATCAACCTCTGACAGAGTCTATACAACATGTTAATCTCAGACAGGGTATGAACAACATTTCAACCTTTGACAGTATCTATACAACATATCAACCTCTGACAGAGTCTATACAATATGTCAATCTCTGACAGGGTATAAACAACATATCAACCTCAGGCTGGGTCTGTACAACATATCAACCTCAGGCAGGGTATATACAAGATATCAACCTCTGACAGAGTATAAACAACATTTCAACCTCGGCCAGCTTGTCTATACAACATATCAACCTCTGACAGTGTCTATACAACATATCAATCTCAGACAGAGTATATATACAACATATCAATCTCAGACAGAGTATAAACAACATATCAACCTCAGACTGGGTCTGTACAACATATCAACCTCAGACAGGGTATATATACAACATATCAATCTCAGACTGGTTTTATACAGCAAATCCACCTCAGACCGAATTTATAGACAGTTGTACCGCTGACAGGTTTTATTCTTTCCATGACTCTTGTAACCCGTATCGAAGGATATGACCCGTTATCGTACACACAATGTATTTGTTATGCAGTATTTCACAGCTGTAATCGTACAGGCACACAACCATACAGGTGTGCTCACAACGCTTCTTCCTTATACCTGTCATGGCGGGTAGTTATCAGGTCACAGTAATTGTATTACCTTTCCTCACAGGTAAGTCACAGGTTCCACATTCACCTGTAATAATGGTGGACTAACTGCAGGTGTGTTAACGAGCGTGATTCTGGGTGTACGTGCAGACACTGACAGGTTGCTGTTACTTATACCAGCCCAGAACATGTTAGAACACGTGACCTTGTTAGATGTGTAGAGTATATCATGAACATGTCGGTCAGCATACACCGAAACTATTCAACGAAATATTACCTAAACTTTGCAGTAATTGAAGTAGAGGTTTCTTTTTGGGTGGCTCTGTAGATATATGTGGTAGAGATATTGGAAAAATATGTGACCTTTAGTAAAGTATTCACACCTGCAGCGCAGTCTGAAGTTTCTACAGTTAGTGAAATACAAAACAAAATCGATTTAACCATTTGTTTCTATATTTCCGTATTGAACAAGCTGATCATATATTGAGAAGAACAATGTACAGTCGGATATCGGTATCTAAAAATAGTGTATCTTCGAGATGCCAGTACTATCAACATAGGCATAACAATTCCATTGCATTCATGTTAAGTTAAGTATGTATGTCTGTGACATCAAAATGAAAGAAATTCACAAGCAGTAAACCAGAACTAGATATATTTGGGAAAATTGCTCATCCCAATTTAAAATCCTTATTCGCACTGCAGAAAATTACCAATGGTATAAATACCAACCTCCAGATGAACGTAAAAGTCAAACATAGGACCGAGTTCGAGATCGAATATTACTACTGCTGTCGAATTCAAGATAAACGGTCAAATTTAAGTATTTATATAGTGCGGCTACCTGTACGGAGATACTGATACATTCGACATGACCTATCCACATGAAACGGGGTTCAACGGTGTATTGAAAGCACATTCACTCATAGAATATTGTTGCCTTTTTCCCTTCTATAAATTTACGACACGATAGTTAAAGGACAGATAAGATAAGGACCGGGAAACCGGTGTCCACAGCACTGTGTGCATACAAGCCGAAACGCATGTAATTGTTTCCTTATTTGATAAAATGAATGCGAGTGATAACAGTAATCTGATCAGATGCCGCCATACCAATATGGCACTCTGAAAAGGAACAAAAGAATTCCTCTGAAGTGTATTTGTCCAAGCAGAATCCACTGTATGTTTGAAAAGTATTTACGTATGAAACACTATCAAATAGAGGTTTATGAATCACTACCAAATCACAAAAGTCATTTGAATGGTAAATAGAAGTTCTTAGATTTGAATATAACCCTCAGAGGCTCGTTTCACAAAGCGATTGTAGCGCTTCGACAGTCGTAAGTCTATGTTAAAGTATGGGAGTTACGATCACCTTAGCGCTACGATCGCTTTGTGAAATGGGGCCCTGAGTGCCATTTACAAAGTTATCTTAGCGCTAAGGTGATCGTAACTCTCATACCATGACACAGACTTTAAGTAGTCTTAGCGCTAAGTTCGTTTCGTACAGCGGCACTCTGGTTTTGACGTTTTCCCACAGGAACCGTTCTTGGATCAACATGTGGCATTCACTGTTACTTTTGTAAACCGAACGGGTCGTGCACACACTGCAACAGTGGCTGGTATGGATCTGGATGCACCACCCCGTGTCCACAAACCTGTCCCGGGAGCTGTCACAAAACCACAGGATTCTGCAAGTCCTGTCTAGAAGGAACGTACGGAAACTTTTGTCAAGGGAAATGTTCTCCGAACTGTAATGGCGGCAGATTGTGCAATCGTTGGGATGGAGACTGTTCACAGGGATGTCAGAAAGGTTTCCATGGTAGTAGATGCACTGTGATATGTGGACACTGTGTAGATGGAGCTTGTGAGAGACTTTCAGGTAGCTGTATTGCCGGGTGTACGGACGGATGGACAGGACAGACATGCAGTGAAGCGTGCAGGGCTGGATGTATCAAATGTACAACTCCCAATGCTTGTGTGCTGTGTGACGGAGACCTCCAAGGGCCATTTTGTAATGTAACAAAGACGATGACTATCTTTCCACCGTCTCCACCAGCCAAAAAACCACCCTTTGAATGATTCAGACATTGCTCAAAGTAAGTATAAATGTACCTACCAGGATCAATAACCCCGTGTGAAGCTGTTTGCCTTAGAGTGCTTCCCTGACACAAGCATTACTTTGAGCTGGTAGAAAACGCATCCAAAACAATATGTTATGCTCGTACCCTTACACCTGATTGAAAAGTCAGAGACGACTTTTCATCGAAGAAATATATAACAACTCCTTTCTACTATGTATAGTATTCTGTTTCTGAAACGACAGAAATCTCGATTTACAACATGGCATAGGCTTGCATAGGCTGTATTGGATATATTTCTGGCAGGGGGTTGTATGCCAGACTACAGAAGTTTGTGTTTATATTTTTGTGTGAAATACACATCGTAATCTCGTCGATTTCGAATGCATATTTGTATTTAGGTATTTCAAATATTTCAAATACGGAACATGTGAATCTTCTAGGATATCAGGGGTGGTGGGGTAGCCTTGTGATTAAAGCTTTCGTTAGTCAAGCCGAAGACAAGTTCGATTCTCGACATTAGTACAATGTGTGAAGCCCATTTCTGGTGTCCCCATACGCGATATCGATGGAATGTTGCTAAAAGCGGCTTAAAACTAAACTTACTCACTCACTCTATGATATCAACATCCGCCTGTTATGTTACAGTAACTCAGTAATGTTTAACATATTTCTTTATATTTACAGCTGATGTGGAGTCTCGAGCAGCTGTTGGCATTTCCTTGGGAATAATATTCTCAGTTCTCATTGTCCTCCTCATTGTATGCGTATTTCTATACACGGACGGAATTAAAAAAATGTAAGTCTTAGGACTGACTAAGAACTTATGAAGGGCACCATATGTGTCGAAGTGGTTCAATTTTCGACATCTATCCCCATTAAGAAGTAAGTCTGTTATGCTACACCCGACAAAATGGGACTTTATCCTACACATGTGACGACTGGCTACACTACTATGTAATTCCTTTATGAATTACAAAGGATACTAGTTTACAATGGTTCCAATACAGAATACTACACCATATCTTGCCTGTTAATAATAGGATATGCGGATTGCAGTAGTAGTAGTTTCTTCACCACGGACGTAGAAACAATCACTCAGGTATTCTGTGACTGCATCAAGGTGCATCTTATCTGGAAATTACTTGAAATATGGCTTTACGACGAAATATATATAAAACTTGAGAATAGATATAAAACTTGACAATACAGACACGCAATACTTGGTTATTCAAGCAGAAACAATACTCCAATCAACATTACCATAATACTTTTAAAAATGTGATATTCAAATAGTTTCACAAAACTATGCCACCATTCCATACTTTCCAGAATCAAGTAACACAATAAAACATGATCACTAAATGTTCCTCAGCAATAGATTTGTAACAGAGGTCGGAATGTACACGTTTCCACTCTATTGCTGTTCCGTATATACAGAGACAGATGCTATTTCATATCAGCCAGGGGTCTTTGTTATGTGTTTTAATGTTAACTGATGCTATATGCAATGACAGAATAGAATAAAAATGATCTATTAAAATAGTTACAGATGTATATTCTAATATTTTCAGCCGTCGAGTGTTTGATCCGGCACATAAGACAAATCGCAACCCCCATCAGGAACCTCTGTATCACCACGATGAATTAGGTAGTCCAACTATCAGCAGAAGTCATCTGAAACGTAAGTACTTGCTTTGGCTTTGCGTGTGTTTGTGAAGGATGTCATTGGTGGAGTAAGCCACTCTCACAGATGATATAGTCCCAATTGTACACTGGACTGTTTTAGCAGATTATGGGAAAATCATGTGTCTGTGTTGCTCGTACAGTATTGACGATTATGTTCCTAACATGAGTCAATACACTGTCTTGAGATCAAACAATCTGCTTTCACCCGCATCACCTCTATAATACACCGTTATGAATATTTAACAGCATCATGTTTGCCTTGACAAAACACGTGGTAACGGCAACTTGCGTTGGATGTTCTTTTAGTAATATGTTTCGAATTATGAAAGCAATTAAATAACGATGTGTATTTGGGTTTTGTTTGTACATGTGATTTTATTGTTGACAGTAAATGAACATACAGAAAGAAAATAGAGTGAAGGGCATTTCTTGAGGAGATAATATGGACCATTTGAGATAAACAACGAAAGGCTCGACCACGAAGACGGACCTCAAAACACCTGGTGTCATCATTGATTTCAACAAACTATTGTTTTTTTTACACCAAATGGAATATGTTTCAGCAGTTAATTACCCCATGGGGTTGATGTTTCATGTTTCCTTCAAGAGATTCTGTTGTACAATGACAACGTGGAAAATTCTAGGCATGCAAGGGGAATATTACGGTAAGAGACTCGAAACCGACGGTATGTATGTTTGTATGTATGTATGTACGTACGTACGTACATATGTATGTATGTATGTATACAATGCCTATATAAATATATATATATATATATGTTTCCAGTCTGTTACAGTCTTACAGTAGTATTCCCCACTCCCTTTCTGTGTGTGTGCGTGCATGCGTGTGTGTGTGTGTGTGTGTGTGAGAGAGAGAGAGAGAGAGAGAGAGAGAGAGATACCTTTTCTAAATAAATGACATAATACAAAACTCAGATGTGTCCTTTTGTAATAGTCATAAACATTCTATGAGTTCTGATGATGTTTGACGTGATCGGTCAACCTCGCCTGAATGGTGAGTTGAAAACTGTAAGTGCACGACTTGAGTGTAACTGATATTTCAACAGTGAAACGTTAGTAGTGTGCAACGTCTCCCTGGCGCCTTTTCAAGATGGCGGCGCCCATAGGCGCCGCCATCTTGGATCCGGTCACTTCCGGTCAGGGGGAGATCACTCGGGTTCCGGTTCCGGTGGGTGCGCGCGCATGACGATGACGTCACGACCGGTTCCGGTGGGTGCGCGCATGACGATGACGTCATCTCCGGGCCAAGATGGCGGACGGGTTTCAAGAGGGCGGGCCCATCCGGTGGGATCGCGTGAGATCTCGCGGGATCGCGTGGAGTCTCGCGGGATCTCGCGAGCGTAGACGCCTTTCAAGATGGCGGAACGGACGAGCGGCGGACGGGAAGGAGAGGGAAGGGAAGGAGAGGAAAGGAGAGGAAAGGAGAGAGAGGGAGGGAGGGAGAGAGGGGGTGAGGCGGACGATGGCGTGGCTAGACAAGTGTGAGTGTGTGTGTGTGTGTGGGTGGTTAAAAAACATTGGATGGAGCATTCTTTCGAGCCAGGTGGGTGGCCCTGAAAAGGGCCGTTGGTATGGGTGGGTGAGAGATCACCGAGGCATCTATGGTGGTGATGCTGGTGCACTGGAGGCCGTGCTGCTGGAATCATCCATGGGTTCCACAAACTCCAAGATGCGTTGAAGTAGAGAGTACATGGTGTCTATGCGATCTTGAACGAGGAGGACCTTGTCATGGAGTAGAGCCAGTAGATGTTGGCTTTCACGTTTACTCACTTTCTTTGGCGGTTCACTTGGCTGGTGGGTGGATGCTGGACGTTTCTGGGTCTTGTTAGAGCAGTTCATACTCTTATGGTCCTCTTCACCACAGTGACGGCAGGGATGTGGACAGGCGTAACTGAGATGACCTTCGTTTCTTCCACAGTTGTAGCAGGTGTTGTTATCGTGCTTGTTGTAGTCCTTGGTCTTCTTGGGACATACGTAATGGCGATGACCTTGAGCACCACACTCGGTACAGGTCACCTTGGGACAGTGTAGATAACTGTGGTCATCTGTTTCACACAGGCGGCAACGGAAGGAGGCGGAGGCGGGAGACGTCTGCATGCTTCTAGTTTCAGTGAGCAACTGATGAGGAGAGCTGGAAAACCTCGAGTTTATATAGCTGGGTTGATGACGTCACTTTGGCGCATCTGGTTCGCACCGGCTGCATCCGGTTCGCACCACTCTCATCCTGACGTCATGGGGTATGACATCATTCCTATAAATAACACATGAGGTCATGGTGCGCACTGGCACGGCCTATTGTGACGTCATAGGGTGACGTGATGTATATAAACCAGGCTCAGCATGGGTCTGACCAGTTCTCACCATGCCGTCACCACGAATGAACGAAGATGAGCTTGAAGAGGCGCCTGTGCCCTACCAGTTGGAGCGGACGAGCCAAAAAACAACCAAGAAATTCAGGACTGGTACTCAGCGCTACAACCTGAAGTTCAACCCTGTTTGGCTGCAGCGTCAACAGCCTGAAGACCTTCCCGTCGTTCTCAGAGAACAGTTTGATGCCGTGTTAGCAGATTTGAGAGACGATGTAGGTGGCCAGGATGGTGATCGCGTGGGATTGGCCCTGGAACACCCCGCCCTGGATTCAGACATTCGAATCACGTTTCGGCGGATGGGTGACCTCCAGGGGGAACACATCATGGCCGAAGTGGAAAAAGTACAACAAAGCAACCATGACTTACATGTCGATGACACCATGGACATTTTCTTACTGCATGTAGAGGATCCTGATCGTATCGGTGAGGGGCACGGCCGGGCAACACACCTCGTTGGCTTAAACGCCTTCCTGGAAAAGAAACAATGCATCGTTCAAACCAAGAATGAGGATCAGCTCTGCTTTGCCCGTGCCCTGGTCGTGGCCAGTCACCACGCACACCAACCCGATCCTGTGACCAAGGAATGGACGAAGCAATGGAAATACCTGTGTGACCATCGTAAACCAGCGCAGTTGAAGGCTGCCAAGGGCTTGTTTCGCCAACTCAAGATCCCCGAAGGTCCTTGTACAGGGCGTGCCACGTGGGAGTTGTTCAGTCAACGTTTGGCACCTTACTATCAGCTCAAAGTCTACTCCCAAGAGGTGATGAATCGTCTCCTGTACAAGAGTGAAGTGGCTCAACCCACCAAGATCCTTCACCTGTATCATCACCATCAGCATTATGATGTCATTACATCCATGCCAGCTTTTTACAGGGTATCCCTACTATTGTGAAACGTGTGACCAAGGATACGCCCACGCTGAAGATCATCGCTGCACCCAAGAATTTCAATGTCACTGGTGCCAATGTCTTGGATACTGTGGCGACGTGGTCAATGAAGGGCTCTCCTGTCTCCAATGTGGCGGATGGTTCCGAAACCCTACCTGCTTTGAACGCCATCGGACGGCCTCCGCCAAGCATCCCAGCACCTGCTCCACCATCCATACGTGTCATCGATGTCTGGCCAAAGTCAACGTGAGAAAAATCCAGGGCATGGCCAACCACCAGTGTGGCACGAATTGGGACTGCAAGATCTGCAAAGAACCCTTGAAACCCAACCACCAGTGTTACATGTCCGTCATCGAACCACCGAAACTAAATGAAGACGGTGAAAAAAATGGATGAAGACAAAGAACGTCAGCAGCGTCAGTTCATCTTCTATGACTTTGAATGTACTCAAGATCAAGGACTCATGTTCCCAACTTGTGTGTGGTACATCTAGGATGTGGAAAATGTATTTCCGAGGCCTCGGATCAACTGTGTGACAAATGCCCCTGGCGTAAAGAAGGAGAAGGGCCTAGTCGCATCAAAGTGTTTCGGCGATCGATGACCTTGAAGGACATGGGCGACTGGCTGATGCGTCTGGCGGAAAAGAAAGAGAAGCAGAAGAAGAAACGTAAGGCATCCCAGCAGCAGTCGTCAGGCCGTGCCTCCAAACAACCCAAACTGGTATCACCAGAACCCGATATAGAACAAGATGACGACAAAGAACAAGACGATGAAGACGACATTTCTCCTACCCTCGATGATGACGACGTGTTGGTCATTGCTCACAACTACCGTGGGTATGATGGGCACTTGCTCCAGCAGTACTTTCATCAACATCTCGTGAAAGCACCCCAGGTCACACTTCGTGGGAATCACATCTTGCAGATGACCGTGGGAAGCCTTGTTTTCAAGGATTCCCTCAACTTCCTCACGATGGCTCTGAAAGCAGTTTCAAAAACGTTTGCATTGACGGAACTCAAGAAAGGCTACTTCCCTCACTTCTTCAACACCGGGGAAGCTCACCAAGGCTATGTGGGTCCTTATCCTCCAGTGTCTACTTACGATCCTGACAGCATGTTTCCTGCCGAACGTAAAGCTTTCTTGGCCTGGTACGATGCACGGGTGGCTGAAGGGACTGTCTTTGATCTGATGAGGAATTGTTGACTTACTGTCAGAGTGATGTGGACATTTTGCGTCGAGGCTGTGCTGCATTCATAACATATTCATCCAACAGAACAACGTGGACCCTTTCTATGAAGCGGTGACGCTTACCCATGGCTTGCATGCTCACCTTCCTAAAACAGTTTTTGGAACCCCGCACCATCGCCATCCTACCTACTCAAGGTTATCGCCCCAAGCCGCCGCTATCAGCTTCAGTGTCTCCACTACTGGCTCAACCCGGGTCATGCATCAACACCCTGGGGTTCACATCCAACATGCTCGGAATGGTGGAGAAGTAGGCTTTGACTGTGCTGACGGAAGTCGTTACATGGCAGATGGCTAAGACGCCAAGGCACGGACTGTGTACGAATACTTGGGCTGTTTCTGGCATGGATGTACTCGCTGTTACAAGACGGACCGATGTGAACGCCATACTAGCTTGGGTACCACCGATTGGGAACGATACCATCATACCATGTACCGACTGGCTGTGTTACGTCAACATCCCGACATCGACCAAGTGGTGACCCTCTGGGAATGCAATTTTCTGAAACAACAGAAAGACAACGGTGATCTGAGAGCCTTCCTGACCACCCTTGCAAGGACCCCATGCCTACATGCCTGACCCATTGAATCCTAGAGATGCTTTCTTTGGAGGTCGTACCAACGCCACCAAACTGTACTACGAAGCCAAAGAAGATGAAGAAATCAAATATGTGGACGCTTGCTCGCTACCCTTTACATCTGCAAGTATGGTACTTTTTCCCGTGGGATCTCGAGATCAAAGATCATCCTCCGTGTCTGACTTGTTTGAGCTCCACGCCTGATCCAGTGCCGAAGTCTTGCCACCCACCCACCTCTATCATCCTGTTCTTCCCATAAGTGTCAGGCAAACTGCTCTTTTTCCGCTGTGCCGCACGCGTGTCCTGAAGAGCAGTTGATGCTCCCTGCCCCCACGGGATGAAGACCGAGCATGGATCGGTACCTACGTCAGCAAGGAGCTTCAGTTTGCTGTTGAAAAGTGCGGCTATCAGGTGCTTCACATCTTTGAGGCTTGGCACTTGACACGCCAGCCACCTACTTACCCTGACACCCAAGAGGGAGGACTGTTTGCCAAGTATGTCAACAATTTCTTCAAAATCAAAACAAGAGGCCAGTGGCTACCCGCCGGTTGTCCAGACCCAGAC